GGGAAGTCGCCCATAGCTGGGCCTTCTGTCTCGACGCATACGACGTGAGTGGCAATATGTCTTGACGTTCGCAAGTGTTGATTTGGTTGGTGAACAGGGTGGAGTCGGCGACAGCCGCCAACGAAACTGTCGCCAAAGATATGAACGATGCTCTTGCGTGAGTCTCACCGACTGGAACCGAGCGGTTGTGGCTGACTATCGCGGCTCCAGGGGCTCAGCAGTTGTCTCTTCGAGCCGGCCTGCCAAACAAAAGCCGCGCATGTCGAAAAAGGATGCCCTGGCCAGTAACAGGCGGGGCTGGGCTCGCGGCGTGCGCGAAGACGAGATTCTTAAACCCAACCTGCCCGTATTCTGGGAGGCCAAGCGTAAAGGAAAAGAGGCTGTCACAAAGTTTTTCGCCGACGTCAAAAACGAGTTCTTTGCGAAAATTGGATGGGAGTTGGAGGACTGGGAGGAGCCCCAACTGCCACTCCCTGCATATAATCGACTCGCCCCCCCTGTGTATACGCCTGCGATTGTCCCGAATGAAGACGGGACCGAAATAGATCCCGACGCTGTTGCTCGCGCCAGGCGCGATATGGACGAACGAATCCGCACAATCGGCACGGTAAGTTGTCGTCGAGTCAAATAAATAGTCCCTGGTCTGATGATACAACTAGAACATTGAAAACTGGTTCAAGACCCGCGCACAACGCTCCGACAATGCCGCCAGCACTTCGACTAAGACGAAAAACGTCGACTGCAAGGCGTATATCACCGCCAAGTTGTCCGGCCTGACCCCTCCTTCTAAAGCTCGGTCGGCTCATCAGCAACTCATGCACGAATGCTGGGACAGTCATATCGCGCCAGTGCTTGCCGAAGAATGGGGCTCTCGCTCTCTGCCTCCGAACGCTACGCTTCAAGAGCGGAATGCTCCTGCGCCAAGAGAGATGGGGGCCAAAATCGCTGCTCGCCTGGTCAAGTCCGACAAGACTCTGAGGAAAGACATGGAGCGACGGGCCAATGCCGACAAGGCGGCAGCGCTGGCCACCTACAAGGCCGACCTCGCGAAATGGAAGAAGGGAACGCCTGAGTCAATCCAAACGTGAGCCTATTTTCTTTCTTCGACAAACATTCTTGCTTACGAGTGACAAAAAAGAGCGATTGATATGCTTCCTGTGGTGCTGCAGCCGGTTTTAGAAACAATCGAAGAAATATCCCAATGCAAATTTACACTTGTCGGGGCGGGCCTGATGCCCCGCTATGACGGCGAAGTTCGTGCCTTCAGGTAAGCAAATTCGAATCTGCCGCCGGTCTTGCTTGGAATCTTACATATCGTAACAGCATGTCAGTCGGTCGAAACCGGGCGGTAGCACCGGTCTCATTCCCCAACTGGTATGAGGGTTACAACGAGCATTGGCTGGGCGCCTTTACGAAATTTGCCGATACTTGTTACAGTGAGTCGATTGAAATTTGAAGCGTGTCGTAGACTGATACAGTTAAACAACCAGGTGCAGAAGAACGTAGGGCAGCCAAAGCCACACCATCGAAGGGTGGGGCCGCAATTAATGACCCAACGAATGACCCGACTCTTCTTCAAATGCCCTTAGAGACAGACAAAGCCGGGCCCTCCAAAACATCGAAGAAACGAAGCGAAAGGCTGCGCTGGATACCGATGACGACCAATCAATTGGAGGCGAGGAGGATGGGACTGACGATGGTGATGACAGTGACGACGAGAATGATGGCGAAGAGAGTGGAGAGGAAAAAGATGGTGACGAGAGTGGAAGTGGAGATGAGAAAGATGGTGAAGCGAGTGGAGACGAGGAAGAAAACGAGGACGAGGACCGTGAACGACGTCGGGCATACAACGACTTCCGAGAGGCCAACATCGCTCGTAATAAGGCCATAAGGGACGCCATTTTCAAGGGCGTTGATTTGAACTTGGGCAATGACGATGACGATGAAGATGAGTCGCCACGGCCGAAGAAGAAGCCTCGCAACGCCTCCGCCCCCCAGCCCTCGACACGTGAGCTTCGCTCGAAGAAGAAGGCTGCCATGCCTGATGATGCTGGAGGTGGGCCTTCCGGCGCACAAACTAGTCCGTCGGCTGCGCCCTTGGCCGTCGTCAGCGGGGAAACGCTAGCGACTGCCGCCGCCACAACAATCAGCGTTATCACTGAGCCTCCCACCGAATCGACTACGACTACTGGTACTGGGGTCATGAGAGCGGCAACGCCAGGCCCTAACCTTGAAGGAAGTCGTTCTTCCCCGACTCCCGCGATCTTGGGAGGCAATTCGGACCACAACAACGCGGACCCAGACGTTGAAGGAGGTTCCCCCAATCTCACCTCCACCCCTGCGAGCCCAAACACCGAAGAAGGCCCCTCCACCCTTGCAAACGGACCAACCGCTTCCACAACTGCCGTTGCAGGAGCAAAGATTCAACTGCCGGAAGGACGCGCCTGCTTGGTTGCGGGCTCCATTCGAAGACCTGACGGCGTCTGACATTGGGCAGGAATATGGGAAGTTGTGGGAGACTTTGTTCTCCGTGGAACGTTCGCTTGGATGGGCAAATGGGTCGGCCCGTATGTCGACTGAATCTCGACCAAAACAAGTGGGTGCCTGGACCAAATACCGCCGCGTTACGGGAAGCCACTGCAAAATCGCCAACCTGAGCAAGTACAGGGAGGACTGGTGGGCTTGGTGGGCGGCTAACCAACCGTACTGGCGAGAAGTCAACAATGGCCGCCCCGCACGTCACGATTCGTCAAAGCACTCAGTCGTGGGAGCTTTTTGTCCCGGGGGTGAATGGCCTCTTGAGCGTCATGGCTACGCTGTACTGGTGGTCGTTGAAGGAGAAGGAAGAGGGTACATGGCGTTCGACCGACCTAGACGACGCGATGGCCGACCTCCAATGGGTTATGAACGGCATGCTCGACGAAATCGAACAGCGGGCCTCCCAGTGGTCTGGCACGGAGCTCGACATGGAGGTGGATTGAATTGCGCAGCGTTGACGAATGGACACATACGATATTTTGATACATGTGGTCTATGTAGTGTAGCACCACCTTTGTTACCTTTACTTATCATAGAAAATTGACTTTGCCTGCCTTTGCAAGCGCGTGAGGCCTTGGGCCGACGATGTACGAAGGTCACGTGACCTGCGGACTTGGTGAAAAAAAAAACGAGAAAGAGACAGAGAGAAAAAGGAATTAGATAAGCACAAAATTAGCTTGTAGAAGGTACTCAATAGGAAGTTGAAGTTAACTGTAGCAAATAGACAGTAAGTAAACCCAGAGAGTATGTATGTAGCATTGCGAATACCTATGATAAGATAACACCTGTGATATCGAGGGAATTGATGGGGCAGTGGTCGCTGATCGTGGCCATGTCGATCGGCGCAATGTCGATCCCCGCTGGTTCGGAGCCAACGGATAGATGGCCGACAATTGATGGAGTGATACCCAGAACCATTGATCGGGTATCAAGGACCCTGCCAGACTGCCGGCCTGCCGGTCAGAGGGCCAGAGAACATTAGCCTAGCGAGTTAGGTACAGGTAGGGCGCCAGGTGCAGCTACCCTCCCAGGCAACCGTTTCCCTAACTGCACCTACCATTATTTGGCTATATATTACCACTACGGCTCACTTGGCTGCCGCTATTGCAGCCTATGACTCCGCTTCCGACCCACAAGGTCTCCAGGCAGAGGGTATACTGCACGTTCTAGGACTAGCTCAACCGCCTCCTTTGCTGGAAGACAAGCATCCGAACATACCCAAAATCGAATGGCCGCCCAAATCCATACCGAAAACATACGGTAGCTCAGCCAAAACTTCAGAGTTGGGTTCGCCCAAGCTCATATCGACCCAGTCTCCAGAGTTGGATTCATTCCGTGGTCGAATGATTAACCAGGCTCGCAGTTATTCCCTCGTCCCATCCACCAGCGCTCCATGGCCTTCAAATTTCGACTCAAATGGCCCCGTCAGGCACCTGAAAGATACTGTCAACAATGTTGGGCCAGAAAGCCAGGATGGCCATAACACGGATATCGAACCAGATCTTGACGGGATGCAAGGCAATGTTGCCAGAGGGATACTGCCCCCGTCGACGGGGATAACAATGGCAGCGCGCTTACTGAAAGAGTTGGAGTCAGAGTATGTCAAAGTCTCCAAAAACGCAGGTAAAGTTCACTATCGCGCAAGATTGCGGCATCGTGCTCATCCGTACATCGCAGGTCGTCATCAGGGAGAGACTCAAGCTATAGGATCCTTCTATTCCCCGCCTGATTCCGTCCTATTGGCGATGGTACAGCAATGGCAACCGCAACAATTTTGTTAGTCTCAGCCTCTGCAACAGCTATGATATATGAAATCCACTATATTCAACGCATATTCTTGGTCGATTACACCAATACTTATGAGATTGGACGAGCACGAAGTAAGCCTCCCAGCGCAGTTGCGAATGTCTGGCAACAATAACAACAATCTTGTTGTGCCGGGCTATAAATTATTCAGAGTAAACGAAGAGGTTTGGAGTAGTATCGTCTGTCCCTGTACCGCTCTCTGCACCGCACGTTGTGCGCTGATTTCAGGAGCTGATGCCGTTATGATTTGCGTCAAGTTCCGAATGAATCTATGAGTTGAGCTGTGAGCATTCATGCAGCTCATGCTTGGCAATGGTAAGGGGAGATCAAAGCTCAAGCTAGCTGCAATGCTTGCCATTGAGGGCATTGGGATAGTATCTGAACTCGATACTATGCTGGTGCCGTATCGCTATATGCCGCGAGTGCATGACATACTTCCGCGGCAACCACCGTTTGCTGATCCCACCAGCTCTGCTTGATGATCTCAGCGTCGTCGGACAACCCGTCTCAGGCTATGGTGCAGGGGGGCTAGACACCGCCTGTTTTGGACAGCTGACTAAACAGCACAGCCACCGCTCAGTTGCCTGAAGCACCGATTTTCTTTACGTAGTACAGCGGTAGAGAGGCGGGAATAGTGACAATTGTTTTACTCTTTCATGGCCCCCACTCGACTACGCAAGCGATACATCAACGCTGCTCTGTGTGCCCGGAAAGGCCGTGAGCGCCAACGAGCTGGTGAAGATAATCCGAAAGTCGACATTCTTGATTTGACAGCTGTGTCGGACGATGAATTGAATGAAGAAGAAACAACCTGGCAAGGCGGTGTGTTGCACAATCCTATTGAATGGTCAGACACAGAGTGGGAATGGGAAGATGAGAGAAACACTGAAGGCGCGATTGAAGATGAAGATGATGACGAAGTGGAAATTGTTGTGGATGGCATACAGGCTCTGGAATGCTTGGGTCAGAGAATGCAAATAGAGGAAGAGGCAATGAAGAAACTAACATGGAATGATTTGGGGCTGGTGAAGAAGCGCAGCAAGAAAGAATGGAAAAAGCTGACCCAGAAGACGCTTGGACGCGCTGTCCAGACAAAGGGAGAGCCAGCAGAGAGCACCTTGCGTCGACATCGACAGCTTGAACGTGAAGAGCAGTCTAACGCAGAGAGTAGCCGAAAGAGGTTGGTCAGATTCCATTGCTGGTGATAATTGCACTGAAATTCTGCAGCGGGTCAGCCAACTCGTTCCGCGATTTCTTTGGGAAGCAATATACCCCAGCTGAGGCTCCAGCGCCAAAGCCTGTACTACCACCACCTTTACCGCCTCCACTGTCCCTTCCTCCTCTACCCGCTAATCTATCGTCACTCAATCTTCCTCCAAATGTGTTGAAGGCATTGCAAGCACAATACGAACGATTTAAGACAACGACAGCAACCGGAGCTGCCGGTCCATGTTTATTGGCCCCCGAACCTTTGTTAAATGCAAGTCCCTCGTCTTCTGGGCAATCGATATCGGAGTGTGCAAGCCCCGAATCCGAAATCTTCCTTGGAGGCTACGTTTCTGACTACGAAGAGGAAGAATCAGACGACGAGAGCAGCAGGGAGGACAACGACACACCTGTGGAAGCTTCTGTTCCCATACCCATTCCAAGAGCCCCAGCGACTGCCCCTCCTCTCAAACGTCAAAAACTTGCTGTTCCTGCCAGAGAGGCACGACGACGAGCAAGGGAAGCAAAACTTGCGCGACTTCAGGATGGCTTGACGCGAATCAGCAAGCATATTGTTTCGAAGAAGACGGAGTTTGCTGCTGGCGCGCATGGGTTGCAGTCCAAACGAGCACGCGCAATTGAAAGCTGCTTGCGGATGGTTGTGAAGGGTCATCGCACACTGACAGATGCGTCTGAGCGGTCAGCTGAGAGTCACGGTCTCTCTGCTGATTGGGGAGGGAGGCTCGTACGCATCTGGGTCCATGGCTGGCTAAATTTTGCTGGGCTTCCGTCGTCTGCTCGAGGCTGCCATGCCAAAACGGTTAGCATTCTCGATGAACCAGCCAATCGAGACGAAATTCTCTCATATCTTCGCTCTTACAAATGGGCAACCAATCCCGAGAAATTCTCAGCCTTCATCGAGTCCAATTTAATCACACCTGAGACCCAAAAATATCTCCGCGATCTTATGGAAGATGAGATACCAAAGGCATTCCGCAAATATGTCACCAACACTCTTTTCCCTCGCATTGGCGTGAAGGCGGGACATGGCATGACAATCTCAATGCGAACAGCCCGTGCATGGCTTGCTAAGTTTGGCTGGAAATATCAAGAACACAAAAAGGCACTATATTACGATGGCCACGAACGTCCAGACGTGGTTGCCTATCGACAAGACGTGTTTCTGCCAAAAATGCTTGACTGCAAGAAGAAAATAGTGGAGTATGTCGTTGGAGATGTCGACAAACTTGTCGAGAAGGCTCAAACAAGTCCCGAAGAAAGAAAGCTGGTTCTGGTTCCACACGACGAGGTAACGGCCCAAGCGAATGATGGTCAGAAGATGAGCTGGGGTCCGGAGGGTGAGCAACCGTTGCGCAAGAAAGGGAAGGGGCGTGGACTGCATTACAGCGGAGTGATCTGTTCCACGTTCGGGCATTTGAAAGATGCAGGAGAGATTATCGAATACGGCAAGAATTATGATGGATATTGGAATGGGGAACGCTTTGTCAAGCAGGTCTGTTCGTCGTTTATTGGACGTGCCAATGAGACTCACGATCCTCCAATAGCTCAAAGAAAAAATCATTCCCGCATTCGAGAAAGCACATGGCCCAAGATATCAGGCCCTCTTCCTTATCGACAACTCTCAAGGGCATTCAGCCTATAGTGAAGATGCTCTTCTGGCCCAACGCATGAATCTCAATCCAGGCGGCAAGCAGGCAAGAATGCGGGATGGTTGGTACACCATAAATGGCCGCAAAGTTATCCAGCCTATGAACTACCCAAACACTCATCCAACTCTGGCACTACGCGGAGTTCCGAAGGGCATGAAGGTCATTCTGGAAGAACGTGGTAAATGGCGGGCAGGTTTGTTGCGGGAATGTCGATCGCCCTGTGAGACAGACTGCATCAATTGTTGCTGCCGGCGGATCTTGGAACGGGAGCCAGACTTCAAAGCGCAACGATCTCTCGTGCAGGAGACCATCGAAAATGCGGGACATCTTTGCATATTCCTTCCCAAATATCACTGCGAGCTCAATCCTATTGAGTTCTTTTGGGGCGCTGTCAAGCGGTATTTACGCGAACGATGCGACTACACTTTTGATGGTCTCAAGTCAACTTTTCCCGAGGCCCTGGCATCAGTATCAATTGCAACCATCCGAAAGTGGGAGCATCGCATGTGGAGGTGGATTGCTGCATACAGCGGAGGTCTTGACTGCAAGAAGGCCCAAGCTCAAGTTAGGGAATTCAGTTCTAGGAAGTATAAGTCCCATAGACGTGTACCAGAGGCTCTTGAGAGAAGCTTAGATGCATAATAAACTGTTTTTCTGCTATAGACAGTGTCCAATTGTGGCTACGAGGTGCCCTAGATCATGCACGTGAGCTACACGTGATACTCACGTGATAAGCGCTCACTTCCAAGGCATCTTTTTTTTTATTCTTTGGGTTTCTAAGAAATCCCTCTAGTGGGTTTGTTCTACTATCCAAATGAAGTGTTTTCACTAGAGGAATAAGGATTTGATCATCATGTCATTGAGCTGATCGACTTGTACAAAACAAGCGGTGTCTAGCCCCCCTGCACCATATAAAGACGGTTGAACTTGTAAGTGTCGCATTCCTGCGTCTTTTCCTCCTGAGCTGATGAGCGGCGAATCTGAAGTACAGTCTCCGAGTCCTCTGCTCTCCATTTCTGCGGAACACCAAGGCTACGTAAACGACGTCCTGGCAAATCTAGGTTTTCTAACGTTGGAGTCGGCGGGTCCCCAGCAGCCTATTTCTCTAGGAAAGCGTCGTCATGGGCCCCCAAGGAATGCGCAAGTCAATTTCTTTTCTCTGGATTGTACTGAGCCACTGACAGCGCCAACCGCGGAGCTTTTCACCAAATCATCGACACCGCCAAATTCGCGCCACGCGGTGCCGACGCGTTTTGGGATATGAGACGCATACTAGAGTATGGCTGTCTTAAGTCATTCGATGAGTCTGCGAGCGACCGCTTTGCTCAGCTGCCAGCGAGGTGCGTGCACATCTATTGCAGCAACGAACCCATGCTAATTCTATGAAAGCGAGCATGCTGAACATCACGCGGAGGTCTTCTCAAAAATCTTTGCTACCTGTCGCTTCCAGGTGTTGCCCGTTCTTCAACAGCTTTATTTCGATTCGAAGACCACTCCTGCACCATGGACTGCTTTGGGCGCCCGGGTAAGTGTGCGATGTAGTTGTTGCATATGCTTCAACACTTTCAAGAATAATCTGCGCATTCTGCTCCCCATACCCGGATCTGATTTTTTTTTACCCGCCTATCGAACAAGGGGCAAGCAAATCCCTACGCGGCATGGCTCACCCGCAGCTGCGGATGCTAATAATGCCGTGGAAGGATCGTATTCATTTTCCTCCCCTAGTTTATGCGAAGGCTTCCGAGTAAGACATCTATTTCCTTGTTTTCCATCTGACTGACATCCGCGTCTAGAAACCCGGAACCTCTTTCGTGATTATACCTCTCTTTGTCAAAGTCTTGCTCTACTAATGAAATGCCTAGTGCTGAGGCTGAAGTGTAAATCCAATCGATCTATACCTCCAACTAACGCGTTTTAGAATTCACCAGCAGATTATCGCCAACAAGTATACGCCGTCAGCTAATCGCTTCCCATCATTTTGCTATGACGAAGGAGAGTGGGACCCCGACGCATATCAATCCAACCTCTTCAAAACGGTCACTATCGTATGATGAGTCGTCTACCCTTTCTTTATCATGCCAAGTTTTCACGAACAAAAGGGCATTCGACTTCTATTTGTTACGCGCACCGATGTCAGCCATGAATCGGATGATAACATCCCGAATGGGTGCTTGGCCTCAATCCACAATACCTACAAGGTCACGGCACACATCGTGGCGTATGTTGTTGTTCAGGCAAGCCCTCCATTTCTTGATACTTGGCCTGACAGGTGCACAAGATGCGTATTGCAATGAGCAATGTTCTCCAATGGACAAACAAGGAAAGCAAGAAATACAAGTTCAGCGACCTGTATGAGAAGGTTCTCCGCGCATTCGAGGACCGCTCCAATCCTGATTTACCCGAGTGGGGGGAAGAAACGCTCGACTGGTTGACAGAGTACGTCACATATCCTCGTAGACTTGCTTGCTGACTGGTATTAGACGAGTTTTTGGCGATGGCGCTGATGAAGGAGAGGAAGTTGACGAGCTTGAGCCAAGTGACGATGAAGCTATTGTCCAGAGCCGTCGCCGGGCAGCCGGGCGGCGAATTGACCCTGAGCCTCCCCAGCCATGATTGTTGGACTGTTGCTTCACGGTGCGCTCTTGTGTTGTTCTTTGTTCCTTGCTGAAAATTACACCAGTCGTCTTCCACCCAACAACAATATCCAATCCCCACGCATTCATACGCATTGCATTTCGACACAACTGGCAATAATCGGACTATCGTCACGAGCACCTGCTCTTCTCTTTTCTCTCCTCTCCAATACTCTACTACGCTTTATTACTACTCGTTTGCTTGTCTGCGCTCTTTGTATGCAGTTATAAAATATAATAACCCACCTAATTTGGCTGCATACCTGGGAATGTTTACTGGTTGCCTACAATAAGAACAGAGTAAGTAAGGGTGTATAGGATAGCCCTACTCTCTCAGTGGGTTTATAGATCTCTATAATATTTGGCAAGTCAATAATCACTTCATATCCTTGCTCCCGCTGAGAAGTGCTACTAAGATTATCAATACACTGCAAGAAAAGAAGAGAATTATGTTAAGTTACTGGTCATTGCGCGATGAACGGTGACGAGCAAGTACTTCATATCCTTAGTATGGCTAAAAAAGTGCTCCGAAGAGTATCACTACACTGCAACAAACAGAGAGAATGGTGTGGAGTTATTGGTTCTTGCGCGACGAACAGCGACCAGGAAGCATTAACAAGACGAGCTGCTTGCTATATGAACCCCATAGGGTTGTTGAACTTGCTAGGGAGTCTCAACAACTTACCCATTTGAAGATCCCCTTGCATTGGCCTTGTTGGAATCGACTTAGGATTCGTAGTATTTACAGGAACTTTTATGATTAGTAACCCCTTCATAACCGACTTGCGAGTCTCGGGTCACTTTGGTGATGCGGTCACATCTCCGGCATCCCCATCGGGCGCGACCTTCCCTAACCGCGCTGCCCTCCGCGAGGCCGGACTGCACGCGCCGCTGGTCGCGGGCATCTCCGCCAACGTCGAGTTGGGTGCACGCTCCATTGTCTTGAACGGGCGGCTACGAGGACGACGAAGATCGTGGTGATGTGGTGTATGCTGCTCTTCTTTGCATCTGGAAACTCGAAAGAGCTGATATATATATCACATAGTATCTATACCGGCCAAGGTAGCATTCAGCAGCTCAGCGGGTACAGTGACTCACTTCCTCTACCCAGGCAAGGGGGGGTGCAAAGACGTAGGATGGTTGTAGTCTGCAGAGTGGAGGCTAACTGGTGCTATAGCCCAACAACTACTATGCTTCTCAGCAGTGAAGGTAATTAATCACATGTCATCACTATCTTCACACATAGTTGACTCTGGGCTTGCTTGGCAGATGAGCTATGAAACATCCAATCCAATCCGGGTCATCCGAGGACCCAAGTCCAAGTCCAAGTATGCTCCGAAGTCAGGGTGAGCCGGTTTTCAGCTAGCAATCTCAAAACCGGCTGTAACAAAACTAGATATCGCTATGATGGCCTCTATGTTGCAACCAAGGCACAGCGTGTTACTGGCAAAGAAGAACATAAAATTTGTCAAGTGGTCCTTGAGGTATAATTCTTTCTATCCTTGCATATGGTGTTTGATCTGTGTGTTATAAGAGGATTCCAGGTCAGCCACCTCTTCCAGAAGGCCCTGAACATGTCTCTCTGTGGAATGCTGAGAGTGGCTCAAGTGTTGAAGTAAAGGAATCATCTCCATCCTCCTTAATGAAAACAGGAAAGGCCTTGCATGCAGGCTCAACCAAAAGCTTCTATCCAGTTGGATCTGGTGCCAAGTTAGAGGAGCCGTTTTCTAGTACCAGTGCCAACAAACGGCCCCTGGAATTGCCTTATGAAACCTCTGTTTCTGCACTCAAGAGGACTAGGGTTGACACTGAAACCTCTGTGCCTACTCTTGAAGGCAGGAAGAAACAGATTGCTGGCCATGCACGGCTGCCCAAGGGAGTTTCATTCTCCAAGAAGCTTTGAAATAATTGCATATATGGTGCTTTCTTGTGAGTTTTTTTTTTTCTTTTTTGGACTTGCTTCTTCTTATGGTGAGATCTTCTATAGCTCTTTCTTTGTAAGTTGTTTGGTTTGATTTTTCACTTGCTAAATGTTTTGTTAATATCTTTTCCAGCTGTATTCTGCAAGAAACATCCTGATTCTGGATCAGATTTTTAACTTAATTCAACTTTTGTCATAATTGTATATTACTCTATCTTTTTTCTCTCTTTTTTCTTGCTTTTTTAGTATCTGCCTTTGGAGACAGTAATGGAAAGAATGCATCTGTAAAGAATACTAAAAAAAATCCTTGACCAGTTACCTAAAAGATAATATATGTTTATTTTAGTTTGGAATTCTACAAGGAAACATGTTTCAGCTGTCAGTGATTGAAATTTTAGGTATTTAAATATAATACAATGAAAAAATATGTGAGGGGTATTCAATACTAACAGAATCTGGTCTGCAGGT